AGAATGACGTTCAGAGAAAATAACTACCTCGACTCATCCTCACATTCTTTTCTATGGGATGCAGTAGCAAAGAGCAAGCATGTTCTTGTCCGAAGGGAGCCTAGCGATCGATAGTCGAAACTATTTAGGTTGACATGGAAGATCTTCATGGTATTGAACTGACACACAGGTTGTGCTAGTCACAGTGGGACTATGCTTGTATGGCGAGCAATTTTTGTCGCATCTTGAAATGCCCTGGAACCCTGCGAAAGGTATATATGGTTGTTCCTCTGTCGAGTGCTCCACACCTTGCATCTCACATCACGATACTGAGGGAAGCATTATTCTCATGCAAAACGTATAGGCTGTTGTGGTCACTGGGCGCAGAATGTGGAGGCCAGAAAGCTCTATACCGCACTATTTCCTGTAGATCGAGGAACTAGCCGGTGACAGAAGTCTAACATGCCAACATCTTGTGACCTAGTCATGGGCACAAACAATAGTAATAGTCTCCAATGAAATATATTGTGTTTCTGACGTAGATTAAACTTCTACTAGTGTAATAATAAGATGACGTTTTTGCAGTCTCTTCACCCAAGATCATTCAGCGCTCAATCTCGTTCAACGAATTAACCTAATAGACATTGAAACTCATGTCATCATGCTGCCCTCCCTGCAGGATCAATCACACGATATAGTGCGACGAGCCTTTACAGCAACAAAATTCAAGGACGACATATACCTTCACCTAGGTGCTCTTCTTCGCCTTCTCGCGCTCGGCCTTGCGCAGAGCTCGCTTCCGGATTGACTCATGCATTCCCCGATTCTTAGAAGTAACAAACTTCCCCATGGTTCCAGCGATACAAGTTAAGAAGTAGGCCATCAAGCCATGGCTCCAGTAGGGCGACGAGCTGTAAGCGTAGAATGGAGATCCACCATTGCGGCCAATCTTGGACAATACCGACTTGACGAACGACCGGGGATCCGGGATTGTAGCGCTGGCCCGGCGAATCTTTGACATAGCAGAGGTGATGAGGTATGCCTGTACGAGCTCAACGGTGATACCGTGCTGCTCAAGTTCCGAGCCAAGAGCCGTCGACCATTGCTGCAGGAAGGCCTTGCTACCGGAGTAGGTGGCAAGAAGAGGAGTTGGGAGAAGGCCACCAAAGGATCCCATTGTCAGGATCAAACCACGTTTGCGCTGTATCATTCCCGGCACAATCAACTGAGTAGCACGCAGGGTTCCCATGCAATTGATAGTTATGATGTCCGTCATCTCCTCCTGGGAAGTCAATGCAAAAGGAGTGGGGATGTCGTGGCTCTTTCCAACATTGTTTACGAGAATGGCTACGTCCAGCTCATCCACCAGGGCCTTCAGCTTCTCATAGTCGCTATCTTCGTTGCGAGCAAAGTCCATAGCCAGAGTTTTGGTCTGGACGGAGGCGTACTTGGAGGTGATCTCATCGGACAACGTAGTCAGCTTCGAGGCAGTCCGGGAGACGAGAACGATGTTGAAACCAGCACGAGCAAGTTGGAGCGAGAATTCTTTGCCCAAACCATCCGAGGCACCTGTGACCACGGCCCAGCTACCCTTGGGGCCGAAAGAGCGAAGCTGGACATTAAAAGTTAATGCTGTGTTTGAGGCCTTTCTACTCAGAGTTCAGCCGCAACTTACCGACTTTCCAGGAAGAACAAACAGGCTGAGAAGAACTCTGACAAAAGTCAAAGCTCTGGAGGCGACAAACAAGCTTCCTGCCGCAAGAAGGAAATACGCGCTGACAGTCTGCCATCCGGGAGCAAGATTGAGCTCCAGGTTAGACAGACAAGTTGTATGCTTCGACAGGAAATCCATGATTGGCACCTTTTCCCCTTGACCCAGACAAATTGAGGTCCAACAATGGAAGAAAGGATTGGCTTTTGAGGGAGATTCCACGGCGGACGCGGAGATCGGAGTAAAGTTAGTGGAATTTAGTGAGAGTTGTTGTGCCAAGAAAAGAGCCTCGGCCCCCAACCATTGCTTGTGCTCTGCTTCCCCCAAGGTACTGCTATAGCTCTACTTGCATCACAGATCACTCCAATTAAAAGCAAGCTCCGTCAATTACTTGATATTCCCCCCGCCACGGCACACCTTTCAGTAGGCAATGGCTGCTATTCTCTCTTACTTGCCTCCTTTCGAGGGCTTTCTACCCAAGTGGCTTTTCCTGGTACGTCTCCTATTCCACGATTCCAAGCATCATATTAAGTTTTGATTCCCTCTAGGTCTCGGTGGTCTCTTCGGCAAACAGCATTCAAGCGTACCGATCGGACTCCTACGCTGCGGAGCTCTACAATGGACGATCCGCCGATGGTCGTCCGCTAACCAATCCCTTATCCTCTCGCACCTTTGGCACCTGGACTTTCCTCTCCGCCGTGATCCGAATGTACGCAGCTTACAACATCACGACCCCTGTGACATATGACCTTGCTATGTGGTCTTTTGGAATCGCCTTGGTACACTTTGTTGGCGAGTGGCTGGGTTTCGGTAGTGCCCAACTCAAGGGGCGTTTCGTGAGCCCTCTTATTGTTGCGTCATCGACTCTGGCTTGGATGTTGACGCAGAGAGAAAACTATCTCTCTGCCTAATCTTTTTACATGCGAGACGTTAACCTATACCTCAATGTATCCCTTCCATCTTTTTTTCTTTCGAGTTACTAGTCGATCGCATAAAACTTATCTACAGTCCTGGTTTTACCAGGAGGAAATTGAAAAGAATATTAGATACCCATGGCTAACAAAAGTTGTTTCTGTGCACCGTGACTCATTCAAGATACGAGATTATTCTACCCTACTCTGTGATATATTATCCGTCCAACTTCTTCCTGTACAGCTCTCCTCCGCAGTTCCTTAATCTTGCTGCCGCTTGCTCAGGGGTGATATCTCGCTGAGGCTCTCCCATCATCTCATAACTAGAGCTCAATCAGCCACCGGATGACAAAAAGTACGTAGGAGCTATAACTTACCCAACCAAAAACTTCCGCACAGTGGCGCTGCGCAACAAAGGAGGGTAGAAATGCAGGTGCAGATACGAAGACTCAATCTCCTCTTCAGTCCCATCGAGGGGTGCCTGATGGATACCCATGCTGTATGGGAAGTGCGTCTCGAACAAATTATCATAACGTCTGGTGACCTCCGCGATGGCCTCGGCCAACTGTGCCTTCTCGTTGGCGTTCAGGTCAACGAGCGCACGCTTGTGTTGTTTGCTAACAATCATGGTCTCGAATGGCCAAACTCCCCACCAGGGGCAGACAACCAGGAATGCTCCGTTCTCGAACACCACTCGCTCCTTCTTCTGGCTTTCGAGAGCCGCATAATCTTCCAACATGTGCTTGCCTCCGTGCTCTTTGCGGTATTTCTTAAGTTGTTCCAGCTCCATCGCTGGCTCTTCGGGTAGCGAGCTGGTGGTCCAGACTTGCCCATGGGGGTGAGGGTTCGAGCACCCCATAGCCGCGCCCTTGTTCTCAAAGATCTGCATATACCGATATTGCTCCTTGGGCTTGGCCAGATCAGCGGTGGAGGAGTTGGGGGGGAGGGTGGTCGCAGGGGCAAGAGCAGCCAACGGTGACTTGGGTGACAGGTGTGCACTGTAGATCTCAGTCCAAGCGTCAATGACAGGGGCAATCTCGGCCGGAGACAGATCTGCCAGGGTGAGGTTATGAGCTGCTGAGAAGGTGAGCACATAACATTTGCCAGTGACAGGCTCTGCCTTTAGGAAGAAAGATTCCAGATCTAAAGTTGATCGTGTACACGTTAGCGCTGTGACGTAGAACTACGTCTTTCGCTCTGGCTAATGTGGGAACGCACCGTCTGCATTTTCTGGGCTATATGGTGCTTGCTCCTCCTTGACAGCGCTGTAATCGTTGACGAAAACGAAAGTCTTTTCGTACTTGGGGTTCTCATCTCCTTGCGCGCGCTTGTTGCCTGGGCACAGATAGCAAGCAGGGTCATAGGTGGGCAGAGTAGTCTTGGAAGGGCTTTCTTGTGCTCCTCTGTTTACGGCGGAAGTTTAGCTCTCTAGAACTCTCAGGTTTGCTCATTCCTCATATTGTTGAGGGCACTCGTTACACCCAAAATCAAGGAAAAATTTTCTCTCAGGACTTACTGCCAAGGGCGCTTAGTTCTGTGGGGGGAGACTAAGATGGAAGAACCGCGGAGTGGGTTGTACCTCCGGTGGGAGATATCATCGAGAACGTTCTCGACCATGATTGTCGATTATTATGAAGCGCGCGCGTGCTGTGCGATGAATGAAAGGCAAGATACAAAGAGAAAAAGAGAGAAGAAAAGAGGGGAAGAAAAGGGTAGGAGAGAAAGTCAGCAAAGCTGAAGCGACGGCGGCGGGGCACATGGCCTGTTTCGCGGGGTCTCCGGAAAATTAATCGAGAACCCTTTCGGTACCGAACACACCGAGACCACCACGGGGAATTAATATAAAACTCGGCATGACGTCTGTTCGGGTAAATAACACTCACGTTCCTGGGAATGGCCTCAGCCCTATTTACAGCACAGTTTGTATCGCTATCTGAAATTGAATTGAATTGACTACATGCTTCCTCCACTGCCATCGGTTTGCCTTACAGGTGTAGATCGTTCAATCCTGTAGCTGTCCTCCATATATGCAGGAACAGCACCAACTACGGGATATTTGCTCTAGTGACCAACACATATCAATTATCCGCATTACATCAGATTGGTGGTTTAACTACGCAGAGTGGATAGGGTGCTCTTTTCTAGCGCTCTTTTCCCGTGCATATTCTGTCGCAGACGGGGTTGATATTAGCCGTTTTGTCTTGGCTAGCCCGAGCTTCTCACCGGCTGCCCGAGTGTCCTGAGTGAAATGAACCGGGCCGAGTAAGGATTGAGGTATTTTAGTTAGTAATAAGGCCCAGCATCGCGTCCAGGCTGACGTCAGGACCCGATTGGTTGGTCCCACGAGACGAGGGGCAACTGGTAGACTCTTATCGACATGGCTTATCAGCAATATCTGGGGAAATTCCAAGGGTACTCACTTCTCCATCATGTTAATCGTTTTACATTAAGCCTTCAAGGTTATTAATCTAATTATATCACTCATGATTGCCTCCCTACACCTCTTTAATGGAACAGATACCAGTAAATACGTAGTAGTTGTGCAGCCCTTACTGCTACTCCCCACGTTTCATCGCCAAAAGCATGGCCACTAATCGCTCGAGGCTCCACCTCTATTCCCTTCCAAATGAGGTATGATTGGGCTGACATCAAGTTACCTCTGAGCTAAGCCTTATCAAATGACGTTCAGGTGTTCGTTCAGATCCTATCCCCATTGCCAACCCACTCCCTTCTCCCCTTAACGACGGTGTCCCACCGGTTTTATGCTTTAATATTACGGATCCTACACTACCGAATTCTTGTCTCTGTATCCCTGAGCGAATATAACCTTATGCTCGACTGCTTAAATCCGAGCTCATATTCTACTGAACCCCACGTCTTTTGCAAATACCTCGGTACGGATGGTTTGAGTAACCAGTACGAAGGGAAGGGCTCATTGTACGAGAATATTGATACAGCACAGCAGCTAGGGAGACTCGGTTCCCTATATTCTAGATTTCGGCCCAGTGTGGTAGTAATGCAAAGTATCGGTGGAGCAAGGCGTTTCTCATCAGCGGGTAGGGCATCTGCAGGGAGATGTATTGTGCAACTCAATGCTGATTGTGTCGAAAGTCAACCAGGAGCAAGCGGACAGCTCAGTCGTGACACTTCCTATGCATCTAGAGGCATTCGAAAATTTCATCCAATTATGTATAGCCGTGAATGTAGTAGAAGTGATGTGGGGGAGTAATTTCCCTCTGGGAGCAGTGACAGTTGAAAACGGGGTTATTAGGTTATTTAGAGACTGGCTAAGGAACCATGCGAAACATTCCGGTCAGTCTTTTGAGTCCTCACCAGATTCGGAAGAATCCGATCATTCCGTCTGTTCGTCGACCAGCGAGGCCCCCTATCAGATGGTTTGGGTGGGTCAAAACAAGAACATTGGACTTAAGGTGCGGGTCAAGGAGAAGGATATTATGGACGAATATGCGAACAGGGCTTGGGGTGGACCAGTTCTTTCTTATCGTGATGAGGGGCAATCTGCTAGCTATGAATTGACTATAGAAGGTACGTCTATCTGTGCATCAACACCGCCAATATATCCTTCTTTTAATCTTTTATAATTCTAGAATTACATGTCCGTACTACACGTCTCTTTATGACACTGGAAAGGTCGTTAGAACACAGTTTCCCCAAAGTTGTGAACTTCACACGGAGCCGCGGATAGATTGTACACATTTCTGGGTCTTTATATATAACATTGTTATAACTTCCATGGAATATATATAACATTCAAATTTGCTTACAATATGCAACTGCCCGTCTCTCGAAAAAGTCTTGTTTAGAGTTTTTCTTTATCATATCTGTAGCCTATTTAAGCTGATGATTTCTACCCCGTGTATATGCCCAACCCATGTACTAGTATGTACATGCACGTCTGCACGTCTTCCGCAAGTACCTCGATCAATTCATATAGTTTCGTAAGCAGTTGATCCAGTACCTTTACGAGTTTTCACTGAATGCGACTTTTCTGAAGGGCGATCTATGTGTGTAGCGTACATGCTCCCGTGGTTGCTGGTACACCTCATTGCATAGACAGTTGCCTGAGAAACAGTTGCAATGAGGCTCATGAATGATAACCGGTGGAATACATGGAAAACAACTATGCAATAACACAAATTACATAATTGAGGCAATGACACTTAGTGATTCAAAGCGACATACTATTAAATGCTACATTAAACATGCTATTCCGCAATATCGGCACCGTTGCCTGGTAGTACTGTAGTTCGGCATCTTCTTCCGGAGGCGTTGTTGGTTCATCTCGCTTATTTTATCCCCACAGCGGATCCGCTTTTTGTCGGCACGGAATGCCGACTTTGCCGACTCGTCCATCCATTGTTGTCGAGTAAATCCCCACAGAGGTTTGCAATTAGTGATGAAAGTTCAAACGTCGGCATTATCTGGATAAGGTTCGAGATATGCAAAAATTGATACTACGTGTTTCTACGGAGTATGTACTATGTACGTGGACGGATAGTATTAAGAAATTGAAGTACGGTGTACATGGGTTAATATGCCCTGCCACTTATTAATTTCTACTGTTAAACGACGCTCCACTTGGCCAAGCGAGCTTGTCGCCCGTAGTGCCAGGAACCATCGGGCCGAAAGTCTTGTTCAACGGTGGCGGTTTCCAATCGCCTTTTTATTAGTGGTTCAGCTGAAAAATTTCAAGGGACAGAAGATATGGTTAAACGGGTATCTATGCTATCCAGGGGTTTAGAGGTCTGCATATCTAGATGGCGAAATGATTATGGATAATGAATATCTAGTGGCGTTAGTACTACCTACTCAATGCACCGTTTGACTGACACGTCGATCTAGTACGTGGTTTTATGCAAGGTAGATTAGATTACCTTTTTATCTTTCTTTAAATATAACCGAGGCATCTCTCGGTTGCTGTCCTAGGAAGTTCAATGAATTTTTTTGCTTACGTTTTTTTTTCTTTCTTTGTCTCCATGTTGTGCCTTCATATTCTCGTATTACATATTGCATAAATTAATCTTATTCCTTTAACTATTTGGGTGCCCGCCCATGACATTGGATTCTTAAGATCTACACTTTCCAATTCAAATTTTAAGAGTACACGAAGCATAACACAGCTGATAGTGCGATACTGCCTCATAAACGTTCCTCTATAAAATAAACATCTGGTGGGTCCATCACTAATATGTCGATCTCATGACATATGCATGTCTTTAAAGGAACAAACCGAGGCTGGAATGGGTAATAACTATTATTGACTGACAAGGATATCTAGTACCACAACGGGCATGACCGGTTTAGCCGGGGGCGGCGAGATGCCTCTATCCTCCAAGATCCCCTACTGGCGTTTAGTCCTCGACCAAAAGGTTGTTACACCTGAAGTGGTTAATTATCCCTATGCTGGATCAGGAACCGATGATGACCCTTACGTTGTCAGTTGGATCCCCAATGACCCGCGCAACCCAATGGAGTTCAGCGAGGTCCAGAAATGGTCCTATACTGTCTTAGTCTCCTTTGTCACCCTCACTGTCGCATTGGTTTCCTCTGCATACTCAGGCGGCATGGGCCAGATTGTCAAGGACTTTGACTGTGAACAGGAAGTTGCTATCCTCGGGATTTCTCTCTTTGTCTTGGGATTTGCCTTTGGGCCATTGATCTGGGCACCGATGAGTGAGACCTTCGGTCGTCGACATATCTTCACTAGCACATTCTTCCTCCTCACCGCGTTCAATGCGGGAGCTGCTGGATCTCAGAACATCCAAACCCTTATTATTCTACGGTTTCTCGCAGGATTTTTCGGATCATCACCTTTCGGAAATGCAGGAGGCACGATTGCAGATATGTTTCCGGCTGCAAAGCGTGGTATTGCGATCAGTCTCTTCGCTGCAGCACCGCTCTGCGGTCCTACGTTTGGCCCGGTGATTGGGGGTTTCCTCGGCTCTGCCGCGGGCTGGCGCTGGGTGGAAGGCTTTCTAGCGGCATTAGCAGGTGTTGTATGGCTGGCTATGTGCATATTACTGCCAGAGACATATGCTCCAGTCCTCCTGCGTCGCCGAGCTGAGAAACTTTCTGAATTGAGTGGTCAAGTCTACCGCAGTAAACTGGATATCGAACGAGGCAGAGCGACATTGACAAAGACATTGACCACGGCCCTCTCCCGCCCATGGCTTTTGCTTTTCAAAGAACCAATTGTGCTTCTGTTCTGTATCTATATGGCTATCATATATGGAACACTGTACATGTTGTTTGCAGCATATCCGATCGTGTTTCAGGAAGTCCGTGGCTGGAGTGAAGGTATTGGAGGCTTGGCTTTTATGGGCATTCTAGTGGGGATGATCATCGCAGTCGCCTGCACCTTTCCGGACAATTTCCGTTATGCTAAGCTGTGTGAGCAAACCACGGGTCGTCTTGCCCCCGAGGTCCGTCTTCCTCCCAGTATTGTTGGAGGAATCGCCCTGCCCATCGGCCTTTTCTGGTTCGCATGGACTAACTATCCAACCATCCACTGGATGGCCCCGGTTGCTGCGGGCGTACCGTTTGGCTTTGGACTAGTCTTGGTCTTCCTCAGTGTCTTCAACTATCTGATCGACGCCTACACGATTTATTCAGCCTCGGTCCTTGCAGCTAACTCAGCTCTTCGGTCCCTATTCGGCTTCGCCTTCCCTCTATTCACCACCTATATGTATCGCAATCTAGGCATTCACTGGGCTTCTTCCATTCCAGCTTTCTTAGCCGTGGCATGTGTACCATTCCCTATTCTGTTCTACATTTACGGGGCCCAGATCCGTAAGCGTTGTGTTTACGCTGCTGAGGCCGAGGCATTCATGCAGCGTCTCGCCGCCAAGCAGAATGCACCCCCGCCTCAAGAGCCAGCTCAAGAGAAAACGACAGTGGCTGAGAAAGCCGAGTCTGTCTATATGAGCAGTGATAGTGATGACTCCGACAGCCTTTCCACGATCCCATCCCAGGCTGCACTTGATCGACGAGGTTCTCGGGCTTCTAAGAAGTCTGGACACTCTTTGGGTCGCACAGCGACGCAGTATGAGGAAAATCCCTACGACATTGACCGTGTCAATACCCGCAACTCCGCCATTAGTGGTCGCGGACGAAAGGACTAGATGGAACAGCTGCATGCATTAGTCTTTTCTCGGAGGGCTTCTGATGCCCCATAATTGGCCTGGTCGATCGCCTGATCAAAGCAGGCGCCATATCAGCAATCGCTTACGGCCCATTTGCTTGGTTAATACCCGGAAGATATTGGGTGCCAAGCTTGAGTGTCGGTGGCCCATGGAACGGCGAGTTACATATACCCTATACCCGAGACAAGCGCTCGGTTACTCGAACCTGAAAGATAGTGCAGCTTTCGTTCCGGAGGTAAAAGTTATCACGCAGGAAGTGATATGTCCTCCTTGTGGAACGCATGCATAGTTGCAGATTACGAACGGTGAAGAAGAGGGGTCACTCCCTTCGTATCCAGAGTCGTACTATCTATGTATAGAGAATCAATGGAGAACAGCGGACTGGGCATGTATGCACATACATTGGTCTGATTCTCCACGGGTACTACACATGAATGTGAATAAACCTAATAGAAAGACCTATAATATTAATAATAAATTCATTCAATTCAGAAAAGACATCTACTCATCTGTGGCTGATTGCATCAAAATTGGATTGGATTACACGGATGAAGATCAGCTGACTATTCATACAAATTCTGTAGATTATGTCGGTTCCAATACTACTCGTACCTGCATACCTGTTTTTAAAAGAAAATTCCAGCATAGCACCTGTAGAAGGAAAGCATGCCTGGCGGATAGGCTTCTTTTTCGTATTGTTCCTTCCATCCCTTGCGCTGCTTAGCCCCTTGCCGATCTTGACCTCTTCACTTCAGCGCTTCACTTCTCTTCATCTTTTGACCAGTCCTTGATTCCTGATCTTATTTACTCCATCATATACATACTAACGTAATGGCACCATCAACCATTCTCTTTTTGACCCTCAGTGAGCTGGGCCAGGCAACTGTCAGTTTAGCCGTAGCCCATGAGTTTCTCATTCGCTCTTATGATGTCCATATCGGCTCGTTCGCGCCTTTAGAGACCGCTATCTCCAAGCTCAATATCCGTGCCGCATCTCTGTCATCAGTGACAAATCGTGCGACTTTCCATCCGCTGACTGGCCCTCCCATGATAGAGGCCGATCCTTTGTTCAATATATGTGCCGATTCATTTCGCGTTCATAACATCGGTTTCCGAGCAGCTCTGAACACATACAAGCACATCCTACCCGTAATGGCAGCCCCATGGGATGGCCCACGGTATATGGCAATATATCAAGACTGCTCTACCCTCATCCGCACGCTTCAACCAGCCATTGTCGTACTTGATCCACTCTTCTTACAGGCAGTTGATGCGTGCCGCATGCTAGAACAACGTTATGTGGCCCTGTCTCCTAACACATTCAAGGAACTGACGATACAGCCGAGGTTGGCGAGCTTGTGGAAATATCCAATGTGAGAGATCTAGTCCATCTGTACTTAGCCTCTTGCTCTGTGTATCTTGACTAATCAGTCAGTGTGGGTTCCGGTTACCCTTATCCTTTACCATGGTACCTGATTCTTCCAAACGTTTATCTTGTTCTTCGGGTGCTATTGGTTCTTATGGGCAACCCAAGAGTCCGAGAGCTGACAGCATATCGTACTGCTCAAGGGCTGCCCAGTGCAACCTCTGCACAGATCTCCCAACTGCTCAACAAGGACAAGACTGAAGTTCTTCTCCCGACCAGATGGGAGACCGAAATTCCTTGCTACTTTCCCGACACCTTCACATTATGCGGTCCCATATTGCGCCCCTGTGGCCCAATTGCCGAGGAGGAACCAGAACTGGCTTCTTGGCTCGGACGACGGCCAACAGTCTTGGTGAACTTGGGATCACATGTGAGGTATACGATCGATGTTTTGAAGGAACTCATGGAAGGGTTCCGCATGCTCCTAGATAAAAGGCCGGAAGTCCAAATCTTATGGAAAATCAAGCCAAGTTCCGGTACAACTCTCGATGATACCACTCTACCTGACAATCTTCGTACTGCCGTCGCTGAGGGACAAGTTCGGGTTGAGCCGTGGCTGGCAGTGGAGCCTATTTGCATTCTCACGAGTGGCCATGTAGAGTGCATGGTTCACCATGGAGGGTCCAATTCTTACCACGAAGCGATACGGTTAGTATACACGGCTGTAAATTCTTGAATGCAGGCGGTCCCAATTTCTGACAGCTTGTTTTGTTTTAGGGCTGGCGTGCCACAAATCATCCTTCCCATCTGGCTCGACACCTACGATTTCGCCTTGCGCGCAGAATGGCTAGGCATTGGGATCTGGGCAAGTCGCAAGACTGCGCCAGGCGTCAACGGACCGGAATTGGGGCAGGCATTGATTCGGGCGCTAGCAAGCGGCCAGAGCGAGTCGATGCGACACCAGGCGCAAACTATCGCAACTAAATTGGGGCCAAAAGATGGACGAGTCATCGCATGTGAGAAGATCATTTCCTCGCTAACAGAGCCGTGCAGCATGAAGATGCCCCAATGAAGGAAAGAGCGCAAGCGTATAATGAAGGCGTGACGATTGACTCATTCTTGCTGACTCTTTGGGTGGAGATGTATTTATTTGGTCCGACTGACTCGGACCGACTCAATTAGACAGCGGAATCGGCCCGTTAGGTATATGAGGCCTGAGGATTGGTAATCTATTCTCCATGTACTCTTCCACTGCGCCCTCGAGAACGGACATATCGCACTTCTGTATCCAATTAACTCCCTTTGCGACAGGAAATGCTTCAAATGCTCTAGACTCAGAATGTAAATTTAGCTCCGAGTCCCCACGCCGGCTAAGCTTTTAGGAAGGAAACGTGACGCCGAACCCCCGAAATGCCCCGCATGACGCAGTCTCCTCCACGATCCCCTCATTCTATAAATTACCTGCCCACGGCCCTTCCATTGATGCTCGACAACCCTCCCCTTCCAATTGACCACGCATAACTGATCTCACATTGACACAATGGCTTCAGAAAGAGTAGCATGGCTCGGCTTGGGCAATATCGGCCGGGTAAGTACACACCTCCCCATCTATACATATGTCAATCAATATCTATATCTCTTCAGAAATATTAACATCCCCACCAGGGTATGAGCCGCAATATCGCCCTGAAAGGCCCCCAAACCGCACCCATAATCCTCTACAACCGCACAACATCCAGAGCCACCGCGTTCGCCGACTCAATTGGCTCCAACAAAGCCACTGTCGCAACCACCATCCCCGAAGCCGTGCAACAGGCCACAATCACCTTCATCTGCGTCGGCGATGACCCAACCCTCGACCAAATCATCAATACCATTGTCTCTGACTCCTCCCTGGACCTCACCTCTAAAATCATTGTCGACTGCTCCACCGTCCACCCGGACACTTCCCGCCGCATCCACTCCATCCTCCACGAGCGCGGCGCCACCTTCATCGCCTGCCCCGTCTTCGGCGCTCCCAACATGGCCGACGCAGGCCAAATGATCGTCATCCCCGCCGGAAAGCAAGAAGCAATTGACAGACTTCAACCTTTCTTCGAGGGCGTCACGGCCAAGGCCACCCTCCCCTTGCCTGGCGACGATGTCGGCCGTTCCTCCCAGCTCAAGATCCTAGGTAACACTTTCATCCTCAACACCATCGAGACCCTTGCAGAGGGTATCGTGCTGGCGGAGAAATCCGGTCTCGGTGCCGACATGTACCAGAAATGGATCCACACGTGGCTGGGTGGACCCTTTGCGAAGTATGCGGATCGGATGGTCGAGGGCGATTATTACAAGCGTGAGGAGCCGCTGTTTGCGGTCGACTTGGCTCGGAAGGATCTGGGTCATGCGAGTAGCATTGCGCAGGATGCGGGGGTGAGATTGAGGAGTGTGGAGGTTACTGATGGGTATTTGCAGGAGGTGAAGAAGGAGAAGGGTGTGAAGGGTGATGTTGCGGGAATTTACGGGGCGATTCGGAAGGAGTCTGGGTTGGAGTATGATAATTAGTGGATTACGTGCTTATGGATTTAATTGATTAATGATACTCATTCTGATAGAAAACCAGGTTCAGGATCACAAATATAATGTCATGCATTTACGCTAGAGGAGAGCCATAGTAGCAAAATGGTCAAAATACAGATCCATTGCCTAGAGAAAAGTCACAATAAACTCAATTTCCAAATCAGCGGGAAAGAATATGTATACATATACATATATAAGCCATGTTGGCCACGATCGGCCCGGCAAACCCGTAAGCCAAACAACAGACATTAGACCATACCATTACTACTACTCTCCAGTTAGTAAAACCCAAAATTAGTCCCGCCCGAGATCCGACTAGATATATTTGAGCGTATTCCCATGGCGTCCATACTTGCCATTAAAGGTACATCGCCATCGATGAATGCCACTGTGCTTTCAAGTATTCCTTCAAAGCAAGTATTGCTAGCTGATATGCCTTGGCTCTGGGAGCTCCAAGATACTGACGCGTCTGACTCTGGGGAGTCAGTGTCTCGACTCTCCCAGACACTCCTGGATCCTTTTCAAAAGGTTCAGTACAAGGGATACGTAACTATACTCTTGGACTCGTCAACCGTAGAAGGATCTGGAAAGTCTGCGACAGATCAGAGAATATTATGCAGGAGGGGGAAATAGAGGGCATTGATAGAGAGTAAAAGTTAGTATCCACGGGATGCGAAAAGAATGCTGGCGGATTTGTGGAAGGGCGGATCCCTTGCTCAATATTCAAGACAAGAAATGCCCATGGTTCTAATAACATACTACTGTTGAAGAAATCCAACTAGTGGAGAATTTCTGAGTCGGCGGTTTTGGCGGAAGAAAGGGGAAACTCAACTATTAACTTAATCTCACACGCTAAGCATTCAGGCCGCCTCCGAAGCGTAGCAAGGATAAGGTAGCCTGCATCAAAAGTATGGCGGTGATGCGCGAGGAGCAGTGGCAAGCTATTCGGCTATCTCGCTTTGTGAAAAACTAAGCTAGTCCATCATCTGGATTTTAATGCCAGAACGGGAACGTTGTGAATGGCTCCATCAATTCCCGCTGCGCTCACTGAGGGGCAGAGAAACAGTACACCGCCGCACAGATCATGGATCAGGGAATCTTCTGTGACCGTCTCCTAAAATCCATAATCATGTGTTGAAGCCAATAGAAGCTCGGTAGAGTCTGTCTAGTTCATGTGAGCTATGTATATCTGCTGCTCCTAAGAGCTCTTTAAGGCATGCTCAGTTCCTCAGCTGTGGCTGCTCCTATGCGCGCCAGCACATGTGGAGGAGATTTTTGTGTCAGCATCTGGAATGCGAAGAGAAAAGCTTCTGGATGTTGTGAAGATGAGTTCTCCCACACCTAGGTTAGGATTCAGGCGACTAGGTAAGTGGAGTTGATTGAGTCAACAAAAGGAAGTGGGTAGAACACCGTGTTGTATATTATGGGCCGTTCTCTATTCTGGGTAAAAAAACCCCGATGAGCTGTCGAGATTGTTCGGACATCCGTCCAGTTAGCCGAAAATTCGCAACATGTGCGCAATGCCGAACGCGCGTTGGCCGTACTCAGCGGTCAGTTTCAACATGTGGAGGCTTGTTTCTAATTGTAGCCCGAGGGGGCAAGCTCCCTAGGCCCGATAGATCGGCCGTGGCGGATTTCCATTGTAGGTGGGTACATCTGCGAGAACCAGACTTCAAAGGGCAACTTTTAAGAGCTCGCACGGAGTCCCAAGGAACGGCCAAGCGGGCTCGAAGATTCGGTTATCCACCAAAGCTTAAACGGTTGGTTAAGCTTCTCGGATGGCCTTGATTTTGAGGTACTCTGTGTAGCTTCTCCTGCAGATCCAACTCATTTATTGGCTTGACTGTTAGTAATAGTTCTGAAGATCCTCTTCATGTGTCAAATCTAGAATCTAGGATAGGCAATTTGATATGTAGTATGATTCGATGGCGCACTGCTGGTCGGAAGAAAGCCGGCGATTCCGTCAATGAAAGGTTGAAGAAAGAAGAAAGCAAAGAAAGTAACGGTGCGCGACCGGGATTGACAGCGGGTAGGGCATCGACAGAGGGGAGCCTGAGGATCTCCCGCGGGAAGGTAAGGTACCGGCGGATCATTGCCGCTTTAGTCGAGGTCGTCAGGTATTTCTTGGAGCACGGATCTGCATACTTCATGTTATCTTCGTCTCAATATCACATCATAGCAACCGTGATTTCCCCAATGCATGTCCTATCACGCCATAGGGCCTTGACATGGAAATTTTTTATGAATTTTCCGCATGATTTAATATAGAATCAAATCTGAATTTGTTCTTACATACAATACATAGCAGGCAGACCCTTCTAGCCCCGTGTCCTATCTCCACATGATGGGTCACTCCCAACTCTATAGCGGTGACTCCTACCATGAACACCTCAAGGGGTCCCGAAAAAATTTCTGATCTACGGACTGATCCATCGGGTAGGTTCCCCGGGTATGGAATCCAATTCCAAACAGGGCTCATGTTCCCTGCCATTATGATATTCTAGTTACACCAAGCTCCTCCATGGCTGGCTTCGATCCTTCATCCTCCACTTAAGACACGTCAACATTCACTGTGAGCAAGCCCCAAGTGGGTAATACTATAGAGCCACATGCCTGGGCAGCTAAGGAACAGTGGGATATTTCGTAAGGGATACCTGAGTACCCAGACGCCGCAATACATCATGTGGGGATCATTATGTGTCCTAAGGATAACCTATGTAGATCATGTGTTGATAAGTCCAGCTAATTGGCATTGTCTGAGGCAGAGCTGGAATAGAGCCAATCCATGCAAGGGATTCCTGTGGAAACGCCACCCTTTTTGCTTGTTCCCTACCCGTGCTGTGCGCCTGATATTTTTAATTGTACGTACCCACCATGTATCATGGTCCAGGCGTTTCAAGCTGTACAGAGTATCGGAGTCCCGGTGGGCTAGACAGCAAGGGCCCAGCATACCAAGAATTGTCCGACTGTATCGACGCGCGTTCGCTCCAAAATCAGGGTAACATCATGGTGGTCATCTCCGATGTAGTGACTCCAATATTGCATTTTATTGTATCCACTTTAGCTATTTAGAAGACCATGATAGCCCGCTTGTCATTGTCGATTCTATTCATTTCATCCTCAAGGGTCTTACTATTCCTATTCTCTTCGTGATCGTCATGGCGACGCAGCCCTCCAGTGGTCCTGACAGCTCTGTCGAACCCAGCCCTGAATCTAGCCTGGAGTGTCTGGGGTCCTTTGTCGAAAAGGAAAACGCTCGTGTGAAGGTCGAGAGCCGCGACATTGAGGCCGGTGAACTCTCCCAAGATGAGCTTGACAATATTGTCCACTGGGATGGCCCCGATGACCCTCGGAATCCCATGAACTGGTCCGATGCTCGGAAGTGGCTAATTATTGGCCTCATATCATTGAGCAGTTTCAATACGTATGTTTGCCTCCTTCATTTATTGTTAAAGACCTATGGCGGGTATGCTAACAGCTATTAGGTCTCTAGTCTCCACCATTTTTGCTCCCGGTGTCCCGGAAGTTCTGAAGGAGTTCCATACTGATAACTCTTCACTTGCATCTCTCATGGTCTCTATCTACGTGATGGGATCCGCAGTGGGGCCTCTTGTACTTACACCAATTACGGAAATGAGTGGAAGATTACCAGTGACACATGGAGCAAATATTCTCTTCATGATCGCAGCAATAGTTTGCGCATCCAGCATCAATATCTCCATGCTCATTGTTTCTCGACTAATCATGGGCATTGCCAGCTCAGTGCCGGTAACAGTTGGAGGAGGGTTTGTCGCTGATATGATGCCCATGGAAAGACGGGGAACTGCAATGACAATATGGACCGTGGGACCCTTGCTTGTACGTATATCTGGTTATCTGGTCTATCCTATGTCCGAAGTTACTAACTCTAATTATAGGGTTTTGTGATTGGTCCTATCTTCGGAGGCTACATGGTAGAGAATGTGGGATGGCGATGGACTGTGTGGCTTGAGGCAATACAGGTAAGCTACTGATCCTATGCTTGTGCTCAAACAAAGCAAAACTGACACTATGATAGGGAGGGTTCATTGTGATTGCATCACTGATATTCCTCCGTGAGACGTATGCGCCAACGATACTAGGACGTGAAGCAATGAGGCTCCAAAAGGCCACCGGGCAGCAATATCGTACCAAGTTTGACTCTGAACGCACAGCTGGCCAGATGCTCTTGACATCTTTAACGCGACCAATCAAATTCCTCTTTCTGTCGCCTATTGTCCTGATAGTATCCCTCTACAGTGCCGTCACTTACAGCTATATGTACGTTCTTTTCACTACCTTCACCGACGTCTTCGAGAATGTCTACGGTTTCAGCCCGGGTCAGGCAGGCCTTGGATATCTGGGCCTTGGTATGGGTTTCTGCGTCGGACAGATCACAATTGGCTACTACTCCGATCGACATGTCAAAAAGCAGGAAAAGATCCACGGCAAGATGAAGCCAGAGCACCGCCTTCCACCTCTTGTCCTTGGATGTTTTCTGGTACCGCTTGGTCTATTCTGGTACGGCTGGTCCGCACAGTATAGGCTTCATTGGATTGTCCCCATTATCGGGACCTTCTTCATTGGTGCGGGGATCTTTTATGTACACCTCGTTACTCAGGTGTATCTTGTTGATTCATATACCCTCTACGCTGCCAGTGCTGTCTCCGCTGAGCTAGCCTTGCGGTGCGTTTTTGGTGCCACTATCCCATTAGCCGGGACGCCCTTGTACGATACGCTCGGTCTAGGCTGGGGAAACACCCTCCTTGGTTTTATTGCGCTTGCTTTTGCACCGACATCCTTTTTCTTACTGAAATATGGGGAGAGCATCCGGACCAACCCCAAATTCATGCCAAAGATGACGTAATCTTTTTCTCTCCTTTGCCACAGGTGGCTTCTGGCCTTTTGGGTTGTTCCTATGGGCATTTCTTGCATATAATTGGCGTTCATCTTGATGTGATATGACATGGAGTATTTGGTTTTGGAATTAGACCGAGCTGTGTTTAGCGATGTGCTTGATCCTACTGTTTATTGTTATTTTCTATCTGTTATGGGCTACATTCACGCAACATATGAGCGACTGAAGCGAGTTTCTTAAGATAATCTTTCTAGCTTTTCTCCCAAGAATCATCTGGAGTACATACTATTTTTACATTACATGGCAAGTCTGTAACAAACTGTCGGAAACAATATTACCTCATCCAGAGACAAGAGATACTCTTGTATGCTTGGTGGATCCAATAAAAATGCAGATCCCAATAGTTTACAAGCGTTTCTGGAATGTGTCCGACTTTCCCAGTCCAACCACCACATACGTACGGACGTGTTAAGCCAGTCGCTTAAGGATATAGAACATCTACCACTAGTAATTCACCAATACAATCCCCTGATCATCGATGCTCTCACGGTACAAGCTAAGCTTATACTTCCCGATAAGTTAAGCTCTGGTGACATGCTTGGCGAACCCAGTTATGACATGTAATATGTACGAAATAGTAAATCATTACGTGAGAGTGGCTTGGGCTCTATACTCGGCAGTGGCTGGATAGGGGTGAGCCACCAGGTACCTATTGAAGGGGATGTATGAGTTTACTGTGGAGCAACGTGCAGACTTAATGAATATCATACTGGTCTTTTCCAACAGGGTCTGACTTATCGCTTTCCTTGTTTGTATGCGTGACAAACCTGTCTTTCAGGCATTCCGCGGGACATGTACATATGTATGTACTTTGTACATTTGATAGGATAGTATCCCAGACACTATGTCATCCTGTTTCTTAGTACCGCCAAGAGTATATTTTTTGCATATGGTAATGTATGTCTCGCACACTTTATGCAGTCCGCGTCATCTCATGGATCAGAACACAATAAATTCCTCGGGATCCCTTCCCGGTTACCTGCCTTGCGGCTAAGTTTACCTATTTTTGGAAGTCCTGTGAAAAAAGGCTGATGGTCTATTCGGCTCGAAGTTGTTGACATTGATATTTTGTACACTTTAGTAATGGTTGATTCTGGCGCTCTTTCCTCTCTGGTAAATCTAATCAAAGTATTTAGCACTACAGGCCATCTGTTGAGCAGTTAGACGTTTTATATGCGGCATATGTAGGTTCCGATTTCAAGATAGAATATGAATCATGGCCTAACAAGGATATCTCGTTTATCACCGATTTTAAAACCCCGTGTGCGATGGATTTATTTGGTGTATATACATATTCTCCTCCTCGGGCCCGGGGGGTGGGGGATCCCCAGAGGAAGGATTATCCGATCTAGCCTCGCATATGAAAGTTGAAACAGACTTATACGTTTTGAGCTTCAACCGAAAGGTGCATGGAGTCCGGATGATCAAAATCATGAACTGTGTCGCTGTAGACTAATCTCATACTGTGTAGAATTTTGCTTAATAATGATACTATACCGGTTTTATTACTGTGGTATACCGTATGGGCGTGGTGGGAATGTCGGTGAGTTTGTTCGTTGACTTAAATCCTGCCAATTTGATAAAGCTTGATACCCCTTCCTTCTCCATCGAATTCGATGGCATAGAAAGAGATACCTTTAAACTTAAGGTTCAAGATCTATGAACTAGGTATAGACGGTGACTTTGTCACATTGGTCCTGTTTCGTCCCACTGACATTGTTTTCGCACTCTGCCACAGTACAGAGTAAAGATATTATAGCTACGTAAGTATATAAAGTTTACACAGAACAGGACTGCTAAGTAGCCTTCCAGAGTGCCCCGCACTAGCACTAAGGTCGGTATAAGAAAATTAGATGGATCGCTGCACGAACCATGGTAAGCGAAGAGGCAGGGACCGGTCTAGAATGGCAATTTATAAGCGCAACAATGACCAGGTCAATATGTCGATCCTCTCGGATCAACTTCGGATCTACACTTTTGGCCAAGGCAACTTACCATATGAAATATATG